GAGCTACCTGCCAACCGAGCAACTTCCCGCGTATCATTAAAAATACGACCGTAACGAGAACTTTCAGGGGAGACTACCACCATCGCACGAGTCAACCCTTTGCACTCGAAGCTATCTCAAATAGCAAATAAAATATTAGTAAATATAACATTATTTTATATTTAATAATAAGTATATAATAATAAATATTATTAAATATAAAATAATTTTATATTTACTAATATTTTATTTGCTATTGGAAATAGCTTCGAGTGCAAAGGGTTAATTCGTGCGATGGTGGTAATTATTAACTATTTATTTAGTTAAATAGTTAATATTAATAGTTATTATTAATAGTTAATATTATTATTATTTAATAATAGTTAATAGTTAACATTTATGCGTACGAAATTGACTCTTGGGAGTCACGCAACAATTGCGCTCTTAACAATTTTTTAAATGTAAACTTTGTCGATATAGAAATTATCTTGAAACGTGATGTAACGAATTTTAGTGGTGCCTCAGAGTCACCACTCGAGTGCGAAGGGTTAATTATATACTTTTATATACTTTTTGTATAGAAATAACTCACCATTGCCTCTTGTATAACGTAGGAAGTGAAATAAAATCGTATTGTAAATAAACAAACGCCGCCTTCGAAATATTCGCCACAAGAATAGGAAGGTTCTAGTCGACCGTAATTACGAACTTATTGTAATTTTTCAATAATGGACCGAAGAAAAAGATCTATTTCAAACTGCACAATCATTTTACATTTATTTTGTGCATTTTTTGAATGTAATCGATAGATTTGCTAAAGCTAAAGTAATATGTTGTTAATAAGATTATACCATTTGGTAATACATATCTTATTTCATATAAACAGAGCATTAACTGTAGAGTATAACTTTATTATTATTATTATTAACAGAGCATAACTTTATTTGTGGTAGCAAGATCGTTGAAAAAATACATGTCTCGAATGTTTCAAATCCGAAAAGCTTTTTTAGTTTCACGATTAAATTTCGAACCAACAAAAAAGCAAACGAATAATTTTGTCAAAATTTAATTAACAATACAAGATGTAGTATCAACTACACAGCGGAGCACTGAACACAATTAAATTAAATAGAACGCATTTATTTACGCCCAGTAATATCGTATAAGAACAGAACGAACATATTTTTTGCTTTTTAATCATTCCTACAATGTCGGTTATGAAAGATCTGAATAGAAATTAACAGAATGACTCATATATGAGTCATATACGAGTCATATATGAGTCATTAAAACGTATTCGGTACGAACAATTAATATTTAATTAATTATATAATTATAATTATATTATATTATATTATATTATATTATATTATATTATATTATATTACAATATTAATATTTTCTTCGTATACGACGAGTTTTACCATAGCATTTCATTTTATTGCTAATATAAATACTTCCCATGTCAATTACATGAACAGATTTCTCGTCAGCGATATCGCCATTTTCCCAAAACAAATCCCCAACGTTCACCATAAAGCAACGCGAACCGGACGCTGTAGCGTCGTTCCGTTCAACTCTAATAAAAAATCTCCCCTATCATTCGATATTAACTAACGTAATATTCCTGTAAATCAATATACATACACACATACACGTATCGCGTGTTTATTGTGCCACGATTCGTGAAAAAAAGAAGAATGAGTTAAACCGGAAGCAATAAAGAGGGGTTGAAAGAATTTCCATGGAGAACAATGGTAACTTACCCTTGGTCCACCGGATGGTCAGAAAAGTGCGAATAAACGCACACCTCTATCCGCAGACTCGGCGCACGAACACGTCGATCCCGACTTGTGCGAGTTATGCGAGTTGCGCGCTGCGCAGGAGCATCAAAGAGAGAGAGAGAGAGAGAGAGAGAGAAAGAGAAGAATAGGAATAGAAGAGGACCGCCTAGGAAGAGAGGCAGCAACGGAAGCGGCAGCAACGACATGTTACAGCTTAGAGCGCCGCGCGGAACGGGAAGGAGAAAGCGCGTTCGTGGACGGTCGCGCGTGTGTCAGTGAGACGGCCGGGTGGGGGGTGGCAAGTATATAGAGTCCCGGCGTGGGCGTGGCTACTACGGACCACCCAGCCGACCAATCGAGCCGGTAGGCGTTATCCGGATGTATAACAATGCTTTCGTGTAACACATAGCGCAGTGTCTCTCAACCGGCATCGAGTTAATTTCGTAGGAGAACGTCGCATTGTTTTAGTCGATCGAAACGTTCCGCAACGGGGGAAACCGTATCACGGTCGATGAATCCACGATATCAGGCCGTTGCGCTTCGATTTCGCAGCGACGATTTTCGCTGGCCGGGCGGAACGAGCCCGGAACGGACGAAAAGAAAGGAGACCGCACGGGATTTTTCCTATTACCCCGATGAAAGCCTTTATATCGCGTCGCGCGGGGCGAAGGGGGAGGCTTAAGTACCGCCTACGTTAGAAATCACTGACAGTGGCGCAACTCTGAAGCTTATGCGGCTGCGTTTCTGCCGCGGTAGCTCTTCCAGGATCGCGATCCAGGGGCGGGAGGGAGGCGCGCGGTTGGACAGGGACGGACGGACGCGAAAAGAGGGAGGCAAAGGCGTGAGAGAGCCAGAGGGAGAAAGATGGAAGAGAAAGGGGGTAGCAGGTTGTGGAGGGACGCTGGTCCACGCTCGACGGGGAGTCCAGCGTGCACCGTGCATCCAGTTGTATACCTAAATGCGTACGGCACTGTTTTAATAGTACACACGTGCCCAATGAATTGATCTCGCGAGGTGAATCCCCTCGGGATATAAAAAAGATGCCGCGCCATCTTTGAGGGCTCGCCCGTTTTTTCGGCGGACGCGACGCGCGCGTTTTCAACCGCGGACGGACGCGGCCGCGTACCGTCAGACGTCGGAGCGATCTTTCTCCCCGAGTAAGCTCGCGGAATTAGGGGTCCCGTGTAATTTTATCAGACGCATTTCGTCGGTGAAAAAAAAGCGCGTTGTTTGGATTAATTCGTTCGCGATAAATCGAATGATACTCCCGCCTCGTGTGATCTTCTGACGAGTTTTCACTGAAAAGACACTGCGCGTCCGTCGTCGGCTGTGTTTTCACGACAACGGAACAATTACGACGCTTTCATTCGCGTTAATTTCGATGCTGTACGACGATATGCTCTATGCGATCCTTTCTACCAACGCCAAGTTGTTTACGAATGATCGAGCGAAGTTAGTATCGTACTGTAGCGGGAAAAGTGTTCACGTTTGCCTTCGACGCAGGTCCGTCGGGCGGGTGTGAAGTGCACGAAGAAGAGTGGAAAGATCGTTGTTTCGAAGGGGAACAGAAGAAAGGAACCGCGCGAGGAATTTCTAGTGAGAGATCGAAAGTGAATATTCCTGATTTTCTTTCTTTTTTTTCACCATGAACTACCAGTGACTTCGTACGCTTTTCTTGAAACGCGTTATTTGCTTCGCCGCGCCGACATTTCTCCGGGAAAAGAACGTTCGGTCTCCGTCGTTGATGTCGTTCGAGTTTGATAGAACGTGTTCGATGATAATCGACGTTGTTCGACGGCCGAAGATAGTGTAAATGGCAATTACGTGTGAGATAATGTAGCCGACGGTGTTTGGTTAACGCGAGAAATGACAATAATAATGGATGGAATTCCGTGAAGGCCCGAGAAGTGTGTCAAGTACTGTTAGAGCTTGATAAAAGCGTGCGTCTCCTGCGAAGTTCCTGCCTCCGAAATCACTTTCGCACCGAGGGAGACTGTAATTGGTCCTCTCCTCGGTGAAATGCCGGAGAGGGCATGATTTTAGCCAAAGGTTTGTATAACGACGCGTTCTCCCATCGAAATATTACTAGAAATCTTTTCAACGATCTAATGGAAATAATCATTTTTAATTGTTTTTCAAACGAACACTCGAACGACCAACTTTTTCGACGAAAATATAGCTTAGGATCTCTTGTAATATTATTTAACTAATTTCTCAACACATTTTTTTTTTCTTCGAGGAACTTTTAGACACGATAGCTTATTCTATAGACTTTAATGAAACATTTGGAAAACTTAAATTAATTGTTTTTAATCATTTTTCATTTTTAATTATTTTTGGATTAATAATTTAAATTATCAACCAGTGAAATATCAATATTTATACCTTGGAATCAAATAGAACCCAGCACCGCCGTCCGAGTGTTAGTAATCTTGTGTCTAAATTCTGCGATCATTTCGCTTCGATGAATTGATACATGCTAAAGAATGGTCGAAGTTCTACAAATTGAACTCTATTGAAATCGTAAACAATTTATATTGCGTTACGTTTTACGCGCTATGATATCGATAGATAACCATAAAAGGGTTTTATCGGTTTTCATCGTTGCCAAACGATGTCCGTGATTCATCCGCGATCAACGTTTCAGTTCGGATGTTACGATATTGTATCTCTCGATAGAGACTAATGTCTGAACAAAGGGTTGGCAGTGAATCACAAAGTACATTGCTTACCTCTTCGCTACATGTATCAGATTGATAAAAATGCATAGGTATACATGCGTCGGGTGTAATGCGAGCCAATTGATCGGATGCTGGCAAATTGTTCGTCTATACCCGTCGAATGCAGCCGAATATTACGTTACGATGCCCGCATGGGAGAATCCCACAAATCCTACGCATCCCTTTCCCCAAAGTTCCTTGAGAAAACTGCTCCCTGTAACATTGGAGCTTCCTTTTAAACTCCTTCCATTCGTCCTGTATCGCAGAGATTCGGTTGTCACACAAATAAGTTCTCACCCTTCCAATATATGGAACACGATATTCGTTGCGCTTCTTGATGTTTTTCTTGAACGCTAAAGCTACCAAGCAGAAATAGCGGCGCGCATTGGCTCGTGATAAGTGAGAAGATCGAATTCATGTAGATTTTTCGAAGTTCCTTTCTCCAGTAATGTAATTTATTCTACTGGGTTGGCAACTAAGTAATCGCGGATTTGTTGAATGAAATGAAAAGTTTCTTTTTACTTGGAACGAAGTTTCATCTGTAATGTATTTTCCATTTTGTTCGATGACCTTTTGCCATCTCTCCGACAACAATGTTATTTCTAAGCTAATGCTATTTGCCATGCTATTTCTAAGAATAATAATATTGTAAGAAACGTGGAAATTGCGAAAACTTTGCGAATTGCAATATCGTATCGCTCCAGAAATGTGAATCAATCTTTGATCTTCTATGATTTCAATGTTGTAAATAGTAATAAAAGATGTGCTTACGTACCGCAAAAACAGCAAATATCAATTTCAAGATATAAAGTAAGAAGAAATTCGCAATCCAAAAAAAACAAATTACAACAACCCCTTTGAATACGAAGGAGAAACGACAGAACAAAATATTTTCGCCACATTCTGGCCGAAAGTACAATTAAATTAGAAAAGCAAGACAAATTGATATGTGACTTCAAAGTATTAAATATTGCTACCACTAAAAATTGCTATACCTTTTTTCGAAGTAATTGTATAGTATTCTATAGTAATAGTATCAGACTCGTTTATATTTAAAATACTGTTAACCCTTTGCGGTCGAAACTAGTTTAATTCGAAATTCGAAAGATATTTTCCAATTTAGGGTATTTCCATTTTATACGATTTATTGTGATTCGTGCATACAAAATTGTGCCTGTTGACAAGTACAATAATTGCAATTTTAACAGTATTTCGAGCATAAACGAATCTGTTACTGTTACAATTATTTCCAAAAATGGTGTAACAATTTTTAATGGCCCGCGAGAGAGTCGTCATTCGAGTGCAAAGGGTTAAAATTGCAAGTTCTGTACTTGCCAATAAGCTCTCATGTGCATAAATCGCAATAAATCGTATAAAATAGAAGCACCGTAGATCAGAAAATATGTTTAAAATATAATCGAAATAGCTTCGAGTGCAAAGGGTTAAATTTCTTTACACCTAATCGTGAAGAGAAAAATATCGTAATTCAAATCGCTTTCGTGCATGCATAGAAAATTCAACGTAGCGTCGATTAATTTAATCATTTAATAATGTTTATACTATTAAAAGAGTTAAAGAATTATGTTAATTGGTATCCGATTAGAATACTCGCATTAAAATGAAAAGAAACGAAATTCCATTAGCAGAAAATATATATTTCGATAGTTCAAATGACTTTCTATCGCAATTGGGGTTTACCGTAAATAAAACATGCACGAACACAACGTACAGAGCTCTTCTAACTCTAATTTAACTCTTCCATTGCTTTCATGACAAATGAATTTCCCTCCAATATCTCGGTCGAAATTCGTACGAAACCACTGTTTTCATGTACGGAATAGAAACCGCAGGGAAAATTAACGAGTCGCAGCGAAGCGTGTCCTCCTTTTTCACGGTCCAACGTTCACCCTAATCGCTCAAGTGCCCCGACAGAGGTCCGTTTAGGAAAACATTCGTCCGCGTAGCTGCGAAGGGGTTGACGCCGAGATAATTTCCGATAAACAAGGACACAATCGCCGCCGATTTAGAAGCGGCAAGGGTGCGAGAAACAGATGCAACAAGATCGATCCGGCTTTTGGCAGGTCTACAGCGCGTTAAAGTAAATAGAACTGCGTGTGCTACGTGCCGCAGCAGCCGTGAAGGGGCGTGCCGTTTCCTGAAGTCATTTGTAGAAGAAATGTCCGGCTCCCAAACGTGATCCTTTTTCCGCGTCCTCTTCGGTACCCTTCCGTGAGTTTCGGGACGAACAAGACTTATGCCTACGCGCAGCTGTCTTGGACGCGTAAATCTCGCTTCAACAGCCTCCGCCGCTTCTTTCCTCCTCTTTCGCTCCAATCCAAACAGTCGCAGTGTGTTTTGAAATTCGTTTTTTTTTAGAGTCATCCACATTAATAATATAGATGCGACTTCGCGTCCTCGACTTAACCGTAGTTTTTATCTCGTTTACAAATGGATCTTTAATACTAGTGGCTCAGATAAAGCAAACTCCGGTAGTCCAATTTGTGGAGCTAGGCAGCTAGGGGATTTCATTTATGTACTCGAAACGTCAGTGATTTACTTGGATACACCGTTGAAATATCAAACACTTTCTAGCTTGCCGCGTCACGTAGTTATATACACTCGTACACGAAAGTATTCGAACGCTTACGTTTCTAACATTCAATTGATTAAATATATGTGTTAAACCGAAGCATTTGATATAATATGACACGTATAACAAGGGATGGGTCTTAAGACTGCGTAAGCAAAATTAGAAAATAATTCAACAATATATAGCGATTTTACGGTACATTTATTGTAAACACGTACCAGAAATGGCTCGCAAAAGTATTCGAACGAAACGATTAATAGTTATTTAAATTGAACGATTAAAGGTTTTAATAGGAAGTCGATCCACCTTTTGCTTTTATAACAGCCCTAAGTCTGTTTTCCATTGAGTGGACCAACTTAGAAGTAACATTTGCATCTATCGATTGCCATATTTCGATAATATTTCGTTTTAACGCTTCTTTCGAAGTAATAACCGTATTTCTTAATCGTCTTTCTACTTCATCCCATAAATGTTCAATGGGGTTTAAATCGCGACTTTGCGGTGGATGTGGCACCACGTGTGGAACGTTATATAATACCCATTCTTTGACTATCGCCACAATCTAGCCGAAAGTACAATGAAATTAGGAAAGCAAGACAAATTGATATGTGACTTCAAAATACTAGATATTGCTACCACTAAAAATTGCTATACCATTTTTCGAAGTAATTGTATAGTATTCTATAGTAATAGTATCAGACTCGTTTATATTTAAAATACTGTTAACCCTTTGCGGTCGAAACTAGTTTAATTCGAAATTCGAAAGGTATTTTCCAATTTTGGGTATTTCCATTTTATACGATTTATTGCGATTCGTGCATACGAAATTGTGCCTGTTGACAAGTACAATAATCGCAATTTTAACAGTATTTCGAGCATAAACGAATCTGATACTGTTACAATTATTTCCAAAAATGGTGTAACAATTTTTAATGGCCCCCCGAGAGAGTCGTAATTCGAGTGCAAAGGGTTAAAATTGCAAGTTTTGTATTTGCCAATAAGCTTTCATGTGCATGAATCGCAATAAATCATATAAAATAGAAGCACCGTAGATCAGAAAATATGTTTAAAATATAATTGAAATAGCTTCGAGTGCAAAGGGTTAAATTTCTTTACACCTAATCGTGAATAGAAAAATATCATCTCTTTGACTATTTTAGCGGTATGCTTTCGGATCATTGTCAGACCGAAACCAATAATCGCTAGGTAAATTCAATTTTGATACACTGCTTTTTAAATCTTCCTGCAAAATTTGCAAGTATTCCGTTTTATCCATTATCTCATCGATGAACACAAGGTTTCCCACTCCACTAGATGCCATGCAGCCCCAAACTAATACAGATCCATCATTATGTTTTATTGTCGGTCGTAGATTTCGCGGTTCATATATTTTATTAATCGAATGTTAGAAACGCGTAAGCGTTCGAATACTTTCGTGTAAGAGTGTATGTCGCCAGTTGGATTTGTAACGCGAAAGAAGCAATGATCGACAAACGATTTTTAACAAGAACATCTCGTAAGGTAAATAATACTTCGGGCAGCTAATAATAGTAAGATTGTAGTACTCGTGGCGATCATTGTGCCAACTGCGCGAGTGCGCAGCGTATAACATCCTGGCACGTGCATAAACAGTTAGGTAATTCTGAGGTTCAGCTACAAAAAGCGACACGTCCGAAAATACTTGGATTTTCAGGGGGGTTCGTGGAAATCTATTTGTCATTATTATTGGCAGTCGGGGG